CCCAGATGCTCCCGACCCTCCCCGGCCGCTGGTGGAACCTGGAGCGCTCCCTGCTGCCCCCCCGCCCGGCCCCCGCCCCCAAAAACATCTGGCTGTTCAACATCTCTGCGGACCCGTTTGAGCGTCAGGATCTGGCCAATCGGAGGCCAGATGTGGTCCAGCTGCTGCTGGCCCGCCTTTCCCACTACAACCGCACCGCCGTGCCCGTGTATTTCCCCCCCGACGACCCCCGGGCCGACCCAAACCGGCACGGGGGGGCCTGGGGGCCCTGGGTGGGCGAGGAGGAGGAGGAGGAGGAGGGGAAGTACCGGGGCGTCTACAAGAAGGGGGGGAGGGCCGGGGTGATGAAGAATAAGATGAAGAAGAAGAAGAAGAAGTGCAGACTCTGCAAGCTGAAGGCCTTCTTCCTGCAGCTCAACACCGGGATGATGTCCAGCCGCATCTGAGAAGCGTTCGGTCAGTCAGTTTATTTAACCCTAAAATGCCAAATGTGTCATATTTGATACATACGGTTTGTGAAGTCTTTTGGATCTGAGACTTTTTGCATCATTCAGTGGTAAAAGCTTTGCTCAAACCCCTGTTGTACACATTCAGATATTCCTGATAACAGCCAGTAGAAGACTACACCAAAATATATTTTTGACTTATTGCATGCTAATATGATCAAAATAATTTCTGTTTTTTTTTCTTCATATGTTGTTGAGGGGCCAGAGAAAGACGTCTCCAGGTCAAAATTTCCTTTTCTACCATCCCCACACAGACAAATGTTTCCACTAAGCCTCAGATGGAAGGTCAGAACACAGACCCGATGCTAAACTGTGAGTCTGATCACAGATTTTATCCAGAACTGACGTCTGTCAGGGCCCAAAAACCAACCAAGAGGCTCCACATAAGCGTCTTCAGTTAACCCTTTAAAGCCTGATCCAAGAAAAATAGGAAGAATATTAGATTTTTTTAGTCTGAAGTCTTTCTTTTCCCCCTCAACAACATATGAAGAAAAAAAAAACAGAAATTATCAAACTAAATTATCAAATTAGCGTGCAATAAGTCAAAAACATATTTTCGTGATCCAAGCCTGATCCAAGAAAAATAGGAAGAATATTGGATTTTTTTAGTCTGAAGTCTTTCTTTGGCCCCTCAACAACATATGACGAAAAAAAACAGAAATTATTTTGATCAAATTAGCGTGCAATAAGTAAAAAATATATTTTGGTGTAGTCTTCTACTGGCTGTTATCAGGTTTATGTGAATGTGTACAACAGGGGTTTGAGCAAAGCTTTTACCACTGAATGATGCAAAAAGTCTCAGATCCAAAAGACTTCACAAACCGTATGAAACAAATATTATACATTTGGCATTATAGGGTTAAATCGAAAGACCCAGTTAGAGTCCAGTTCATTAATGAGCCAGTTAGATAATACAACAGATTCAAATCGTTCCTATTTGAGGCTTATATCGTTTTTTTTAAAGAAAAAGGGAGAAAACGTGGGGAAAACGCTTCAGGTAATAATATTTCTACATAAACTTTTGGGAAGAGGTTGTTTTTGTTCATCAGCTTTTAGCAGACGGACGTGTTTTTTTACTTTTCTGACAGAGTTCCTGCTCAGAGGACTGACACTGTGAAGCCGTTTGAACCCTAAATGTAGTTCAAAGTTTCCTTCGAGTAGAAAGAACCCAACTCATAAAAAAATATATAGTTTTAGTTTGTGTTTTGGCCTCCGACTGGCCGCTCAAATCAGGGTTTTTCAGCACATTTTTACACACAAACGTGCACTAAAGCGTCCAGGTTCAGATCAGCAGGATCCTGGTTTCTGTCTCTGAGAACTAGTCGGGCTTCTGGAGCCGAAAGGGGTGAAAGAGCTTCTTTGTGATCCGTTTCTATGGCGATTATGGGATGTTTGGCGTGTTTTCTGTGGTAGTTTGAATGTATCGCCGACGGCCATCATCTCCTGACTCTGAATTTACGCGTTTTTACTCATGACTGTGAACAGTACTCGACAATAATGCAGCATATTTGTGTGTTTTTATGTTTTTTTTCCTTTTAAATGGTGACGAAAAGACGGGAAAAAAAGGCAACGATTTACGCCGAGATGTGTTTTTTATGTGTCTGTCCTCGCCTCAGTCTGAGGAATAAAGACTCGACTAAGCTCCGACTCCTCTGAATGACTTTAGAAATAAAACAGACGTCTCTCAGGTCTGAGCTCAGAGCTTTAAGGTGACTCTACACTTTTATCTTTTATTTAGTCGTCCAACCGTCGTTTTCTGGGCTGAGAACCACCGGTTTTCCATCAAAAAACCTAAAAAAAACTGAGTCTGTTTGTGAAGAAAAAAGCAGACTTTCATAAGAAAACCCCGGAGGCTCAAAGCCGGAGTGTGAGGAGGTCCCTGGGGTGCGTTTGTCTCCGGGGGGGGGGGGGGGGGGGGGTGATAAAAGGGGCGGGCGGAGCTTCAGAGGCCTCTTTGAAGTCGGACACCTAGCCTCTAAATATTTCGGCCTGTTTGCTCAATAACCAGCAAACTCTGCCTCAGTACGGCCCAGAAACCTTTAAAAGGGACGCTTGATTTCTCCACCCTGAGCAAATATCTCAGCCGTGGGCTTTCATGTGTCTCCGAAACCACATTAAAGCAAGTTTGACTTGTTTTTTTTTCTTATCTGTGAAGGGAAATCCAGTTTAAATAACAAGAAAATATTGATTCATTACATTTTTCTTTAAAATGGTTTACCATTCGGAGCCTTTTCAGCCAAAACGTCTGAGTTTTTAGTCTGGTTTTAATTTCAAATGCTGAATAAATTCATTAATAATGGGAATTATGGGTCCTCAGGGACCACTAGGTGGCGTCAGATATCAGCTCTAGACTCAAACTCAACTTTCCCAAACCGAAAACAGGATTCTTCACGCTGGTTGTCGCCTCATTGAATTTCTTTTCTCCCCAAACAAAGCCGGACTCGTGTAATCCTCCGGGATTAAACTCCCATCAGTCAGGTGTGAAGATATTCTGTAAACTAAGAACGCTTTCAGGATGGAAACGTTTGATTCATCCTCTAAACACAAAGAGAGCGAACAGAATCTGAACCGTTTCTCTTTCAGGGGCCAATTCTTGCCTTTAAAGAGACATTTTTGATCCTTTAAAAAGGAGCAGATGTGGCGTTTTAAAAGGAGAAATAAAGAAAAGACTCACCCTGATGGTCTGGAGCCCTAAATCTGACTTTTTTAATCTGCCTTATTGGTCATTTTGATAACAGAAATGTGATTTTTAAAAGATATAAAGTATCAAATTGCATGGTGGCTTTAATCAAAGGTTTTTATTGGATGAAATCACTCATTTTTGTCCTCAAATCGGCATCAGTTCGTATGGGAAAAGGGATTTTGGGGATTATAGCCAGCTGTGTTTCTCCAGACAGATGCTAATGATCCTTTATCCAGATGTGGGCTGGAACAGGTCTGCAGGCAAGCAAGAAGGGCATTTTGGAGGATTCAAACTTTATTTTCTTTATCAAACATAACATTAAACATAAGTCTGTATTTTTATTTTCACACATTTTTTTCCTCAGCCGAAATTTACAACGTTACTAAATAGAGAACTTCTAATCAAACTGAACATTTGCTCTTTTGTGTCTGAAACGAGCAATTACAGGAAAAAGAAAAATACTCTGCAGCTCTTATCGACTCTACCAGGATGAATTTACATTTAAATGTCGACTTTTATCCTCCCCAGTTTGGGTTTTCATTGCTAAATCCTACACAAATGTTATGGCTCTATAGTCAATAGCTGCCGTTTCTCTTCCATCTCTGAGCCCCTCTCCCACCAGATGTGAGTCTTTTCTGTGAGGAGTCTCCAGGAAAAGCTCTCCAGGTTCTTAGAGGACGTCCCAAAGCTCTTCTCTGGATGTTTCTGCCTCCAGATGATCCCACTCTGCCTCATAATGTGGAGCTCCGGCTCTATTTTTTTTTTTTGGGCAATTTTAAGCCTTGTTTTTGCTTTTTTTGTGTATTTTTAGCCAATTTTAGATCTTATTGCTTTTTTTGTGTATATTTAGTCAATTTAGCCTTGGTTTTCATATTTTAGTGTATTTTCTTTGTCATTCTAAGCCTTGTTTTTGCTTTTTTGGTGTACTAAAACACTAAGGAGTGAGGATCCGTCCCTCCATCAGAGCTTTCCTCCTGTTTCCTTCCCCCTTCATGGAGAGCATTTCTGATTCAGCCACCAGGAGACCATCAGCTGGAGGTCCAGATGCAGCTCTCAGCTCCTGTCAGGTTTTTTTTTTTTTGGACTGGACTGAAAATCGAGGGATGAAGCATTCAAACCACCTCGAAGATTTCGGTTTCACTCCTTTGGAAGTAAAAT